TGGTATATCTGGTGAACTAGAAGCAGAAGGTGATCCTCCAATTTCTTCAACAGTTAATTCGGCTGGTTGTGCAATTGGTGTTTCTGGTTTTTCTTCTACAACAACAGGTCTTGGAGATGGTGTTGGCTCTTGAGAAACTGGTGTTTCTACTTGTTGTTGTTTTTCTTTTTCATTTGACCTTACACTTGAAGATGATGACATCGTTGATTTTGTTGATTGTGAACTAGATTGAGAGTGTTCTGAATTGTCTGACATAAATGAATAATTGAATTCTTAGTTAGACTATGACAAGTTCTTAAATCCCTCAAAAGTAAAAGTTTATTTTGGTTGTAATTGGTGAGTTGAAATTCCTTGAAATTTGCCAATTTCTTTCTTTTTTCCAACTTAATCGCTTAAAATCCACTTTTTTTACTTCTCTTTCATTTTAAAATGCTACCATTTTCAGTCGTTCATACTTTGAAGTTTATCCATATTCTTTTTCTACTTTATTAAATCGGGAATATACCTTAATTGTTTTATCCTTTTTAAATGACACGTTTAGATGACGTTGTTTTTTTCAATTTTATTATTTCTTTATAATAAAAATATTATTTTCTTTTTTTTAAAGTTACTCTGAACCTTTTTTCAAGAATACTTATTTTTAGAATAATTTTTACCTAAAGTCATTTCATCCTCACTTTTTTCTTTTTTTTTTTTGTATTTTTATTTTTTCTCACTATTTTTTATTTTTTGTAAAATGAAAGTTTTATATTTAAAGACTTCATAATCGTCATTCGATTATTAATGCAAAGAGTTCCTTTCTCATCCAGTATCAATGAAAGTATAAATTCTTTCAATGGTGGCATACCAAATGGATATGGAAATCAACCATTCTATGAAGATACCCAACAAAACTATGAAAATCAACAGTACAGAAACAATACAAATCCAATGAATAATTTATATAGTCAAACTCAGTACCAAAATATGGAAAACAATTCTTTCAGCGGAGATAACCAAGAAACAAAACAAACACCATTCTTCAATCAAGAAAATGATTTTGAAGAAGAAATAACACCAAGCATCATTAAAAATGATATCTGTGAAATCCAAAAATTGTTGGGATATTTTGCAAACAATTTCGTTACCCGAAGTGAGATTGTTACCTGTTCTATATTGGAACGTGTATTGGCAAGTCTTTTACACATAACCTCTTATGTGAAAAAGATAGAGTCTAAAGGATTAGTTAATTCAAACCCAGACATTAACCAAACAAAAGGTAGACTTCAAACAACTGACAGTACAAAACCACACAAGGATCAAAAAGTTCATACCAAAGAAGATGTGGTAAATCCAAGTTCTCCTTATAGCACAGAACAGTACAGTGATAGTGGTAGTGTTGGTAGTAGTGGTGGTGTTGGTAGTAGTGGTGGTGTTGGTAGTGGTTATGATAGTGATATTGGTAGTAATCAAAGTAGTATTAACCAGAAAGGCATGTCTGAAGAAGATGGTGAAGGAAAAATTGATGAGCAAGATAGCAGTATTGAAGAAAAATGGATTAAAGAAAATGACCAGATTGCTCCAGTGATATCAGATGAACTATTGAAAGTTTCTCCAAATAGTCCATTAAAAAGTTCTTTTAGAGAAATAGCACCTACTTATATGAAAAAAGTAAACGAAATGATTGAAAATAAACGGCCACAAGAGTTATTCTATTATAACTCAAAAAACACTTCAAGAAATGAAACAAAAGATGTTAGAAATAAAATAATTGAAGCAATGCAAAATAAAAATATATCTCTATTTATTCTTACAGAACAAGTTTGTGTTGCTACGTTCTCAAAACAAAAATCTAAAATTGATAGTGGATGGAATTCAGATGAAGCATTTAGAGTTTATCAATTTAT